CCCTACAGCAAAAACCTCTCAAAAAAAAAAAAAAAAAAAAGAAAGAAAGAAAATGCATATTATAAAAAAAACTATTTATGGATTTCTAGGGTTTTTTGGCACCAAAATAAACTTAATTCCACTTTTCTGTGAACTTTTTGAAGTACCTCATGCATTTGTAAAATGGTTAGATTTTCATCTAATTGTGGTTACATCAATTTACATTATTAGTAGGAAGATAAACGTTTATTTTTAAGAGAGATTTTTGCTATAGGACACATATATTCACAGGAGAGACAAAAGAAAGAAAGAAATCACACCCCCATGGGGTATGGCCACGCCGCAGTACCCTTCTCTTCTCAGGATTTTGGGCACGCATGTACATGCACCTGGTGTGAGTTTCAAGCCATTGGGTCCAGAACTCAAACTGTGGTTGACTATGTGGGAATCCAGCGACATAACCATTGCGCCATCTGCTGGTCCCAGGGAGGTGACTGTTTCTCCGTAAGTTCACAGATTTAACATATTGTCAAACTTGTGTTCGTTTTTTGTTTTGTTGTGTAGAGATTTTTTTTGCTTTAGGGCATGTGTACTCACTAGAGAGAGACAATGAGAGGGAAAGTAAGCAATCACCCGGAGGGTGGGGCCAGCAATTGGCATAATGTCTATTTCGCTGGACTCCCATGTAGTGGACCACGGTTTGAGTCCTGGACCCAGTGGCTTAAACTCACGCCGGGCACGTGTGCGTACATCCCCAAGATCCCGAGAGGAGAATGGAGGAGGAGGGATTGTGACGTGGCCATCCCCCCTGAGGGGTGATTTCTTGCTTTTTGTCTCTCTGTCTCTCTCTTTCTGGCAAGCACACACACCCTATAGCAAAAACCTCTCCCCCCTCCAAAAAAAATAAAGCACCTGGGGGGATGGCCACACCACAGTCCCTTCTCCGTTCTCCTCCTGGTATCTTGGGCATGCATACGTGTCCAGCATGAGTTTCAAATCACTGGATCCACAATTCAAACCATGGTTGGCTGTATTGGAGTCTAGTGATATAATCGCTACACCATCTGCTGGCCTGTGTGGGTTTTTTTTTTTTTAATGAGTTGACTGGAAAAAATGGTATAGTTATAATTTCCTTATGTATTCACTCATGTATTTTAATTTGACCAGAGATGAATAAAATCAAGGTTTTTTTTGTTTGTTTGTTTGTTTTTAAGAGGTTTTTGCTATAGGGCGTATGTGCTCGCCAGACAGACAGAGAGAGACATAGAGACAGAAAGCGAGAAATCACCCCCCAGAGGGAATGGTCACGCCACAGTCCCTTCTCCTCCATTCTCCTCTCGGGATCTTGGGCACGCACGCACACGCGCCCGGCGTGAGTTTTAAGCCAACAGGTCTGGGATGCAAACAGCGGTCAACTACGTGGGAGTCCAGCAACATAGCCATTACGCTAACTGCTGGTTCCCTGTTTCTTTGTTTTTTAAGAGTAACCCGTGTTTCATTTTCTGTTCCTTTTTGTGTATATCCTTTGCTCTTTTTTTTTCTCTTATAATTTTGGACTTTTAAAAATAACTCAGTTCTAGCTCTAATAAATTAAAGTGACCAACCATTTGTCATATGAGTTACAAAGTATGTTTTCCTAGGCCGTCACTGTTTGCATGTACGTGTGTGTGAGAGAGAAACACACCCTCAACAAGGTCTTGTCATGCCACAGTACCATCCCCCCGCTCCAGCTCCCTAGGACTTGGGTACACACATACATGCCCTGCGTGTTTACAGGCCACGCTGGCTATCAGAGCCTGTGGTCAGTTTTTTGCCTTCCGGTCTTACAGGACACTTGAGTTAATGCTACTCCACAGTAAATGGCCAAGCATTTTTTTCCTTTGACTTTGTGTTCAGTATAGTACAAAATTTATTTCTACTCAAATTATATTGTAAGTCCTTATGCTTAGACTATGCTTAGGAGACTTTCATAGAAAATACTTTCCCCTTGTACAGAGAAAGCAGCCCTGGGGAGATAGTTACACTGCAGTTTCCCCTTCTCCATCCTCCTTTCAGGTTCTTGGACACACACACAAACATACTCTCTCTCACCGAGCATGATTTTAACGCCAGCCGGAATGGGACTGAACCGCACAGTTATCCATGTGGTATCTAGCTTCCTAAACTACCCCTCCTTTGGCTAGTCCTATTTTTACTATTTTTTTAAGTGTGTTATTCAGTGGCATTGTTTATATACATTCACACTCTGGGTACATGTGGCTGCATGCCTAAGATTCGGAGAGGAGAAGGGATTGTGGTGTGGCCAGCCCCACTGGGGGACTGATTCCTCAGTTTCTGTCTCACTGTCTCTTGTGTACACACCCTACAGCAAAAATCTCTCTTTAAAACAAAAAAAGAGCTCTTTAATTTTATTTATTTATTTATTTATTTATTTTTCAATTTGACCAAAGAGAGACAGAGGGAAAGTAAGAAAGCAAGCCACCAAGTCTGGGATTTGAACTGTGATTAGCCATGTGGGTGTCCAGCACCTTAATCACCATGCCACACAATAACCCCTCTACCCTTCTCTTTATTTTTTTTTTAACTTTTTCTTTAAAGAATTATTTTCTTCATTTGTTTGTTTGTTTGTTTGGCTAGGGAGGGACAGAGTAGCTGGGAGAGAGAGAGGGAAAATGAGAAAGCAAGCTGCTAGGTCTGGGACTCAAACCATAGATCGCCATGTGGGAGTCCAGCCCCCTTAACCACCATGCCACCTGCTGACCCCACTACCATTCTCTTTTTATCACTACAAATTGACCACTACTATATGGACCTTAAGTGGAATCATACACTGTTTGTCTTCTTGGGTAATTACTGTCAGTGTTCACCCAGGTTGTAGCAGTCGTCAGAATTTGATTCCTTTCGAAGCCTGAATGATAAATATTCTGTTATATACCACATTTTGTTTTTGCATTTATCCATTAATACATATTTGTCTTTTCTCTTTGTTTTAACAAGGTTGTTAAAGTCTTATTTTATAGTAAATTATTATTTTTTTCTTTTTTGTGTTCAGGCAGATTCTTTCAAAATGGGACAAGAATTTGTGAGACGTTTTCCTAGCAGCACAGACAAGCTAACTAACCTTAATCTGGTTTCCAGAACGTTAAATTTAGATACGACAGATCAAGTTGTGCCCCCAAAACCTGCTGATTGCCATAATTCTAACAAAACATCTATCAGTGCCACATCAGAAGGACTCTTATTGCAAGATACCTCTAAGATGGACTGCTTTAATCAGACACTTTCAAACAGTAAAAGTAGTTATACAAGTTGTAACCCTCAGTCAAACCACCTACTCAGTAGAGAACAAAGAAGAAACACACTTCAGAAAGAATCTTTAATATTTATGAAAGGAGTAATGGATGAATGTACTCATGTAGCAAATTTCTCAGGTACTAATTTTGATATGATTGGGAATATTTGCCGATGTGTGACTACTGCTGAAATATTCTTAAAGATGCTTTACAAGATGAATTTATTTATTTATTTTTAAGGTATTTTTAAATTTTAACATTATTATTATTACTATTTTCCAATTTGACCAGAGAGAGACTGTGGGGTAGGGAGACGTGAGAAAGGAAGCCACCAGATCTGGGACTCAAACCATGGTTGGCCATGGGGGTGTCCAGCACATTTCCCTGCCATGACACCACCTACTGGCTCTATCGATTGATTGATTGATTGATTAGTTGGTTGAGATCTTTGCTGTAGGGTACGTGCACTTGCTGGAGAGACAGAGAAACAAAAAGCAAGAAGTAACCTCCCAGAGAGGATGACCATACCACAGTCCCATCTCCTCCATTCTCTTGGGATTTTGGGCACGCACGCACACGTGCCCAGCATGAGTTTTAAGCTGCCAGGTTCAGGACTCGATCTGCTGTCAACTACGTGGGAGTCCAGCGATATAACCATTATGCCATCTGCTGGTCCCAAGATAATTTTAAATTTTCAAAAGTATATTTTTGTTGTCTCCAGAATGTGTTCTCCAAGATAAGTTAGTTATTTAAATGTATATTTTATCCATGAAAGTCTAAGACCATCTTATTCATTTAAAAAACACATTGCATTTAGTATATGCTTTAGAACAAACATGTTGTATTGTAGATTAATATTATGATATAATATTAAAGTTCATTTATATCTTAAAGCATTTTAGCTTGACCAACGTTTTACTTACAGTATTTTATTGTATAATCTGACTAAAAGTATTTATATAAAAATCTTAGAGCTTCATAAATATATATTTGTTGATTTTCAAAAATCTTATACCTAGTTCCAGTTGACCCAAGCCTCATTATAGTGGTACAAGCCAAAGAAGATGCCTATATTCCACGAACAGGAGTTCGAAGTCTACAAGAAATTTGGCCTGGTTGTGAGATCCGATATCTAGAAGGGGGTCATATTAGTGCTTATCTTTTTAAACAAGGACTCTTCAGGTAAGATGATTGATCTAAATAAAAGGGTGTTTAGTTGTGAGTTTTATGGGGTTACTTTTTGCCTCAACAAATAGAAAAGATTACAGAAGATTACGTTTGTGTTTTAGTTTTGCTAGAGGCTACATGAGCTCACTGGAGAGACATAGAGAGAAAGAGAGAATGTGAGAAGCCCCCCCACCTGCCAGAGAGGGGGATAGACACACCATAACCCTTCTCCCTTCTCCTCTGGGGATTTTGAGTACTCATGGACACATGCCTGGTGTTTTTTTTTTTTTTCAAGCTACCAGGGCCAGAACTTGAACCACTTAGCCATGTGCAATCCAGCTGCCTTAACCTTCTGTGCCAACTATTGGCCCTAGGTTATTTCTATTGCGTATTTTAGTCCTTTTATTTCCTCCCACAAATCTCACGTAGAGGTGGTTTTTTCCCCCTCTTTCCTATCTCATCCTCTTATTATCTTTTTTTATTTTGGAAAACTAGCAATCTAAAGTATATCACAGACATGCTTAATTGTGTGGATTTTACCCTCTACAAATATTAACAGCTGGGGCACTGGCAGGTGCTGTGCTGATTAAAGGTACTGGACTCCCACGTGGCCAACTGTGGTTCAAGCCCCAGACCTCGCAACTTGCTTTCTCACTTTTCCCTCTCTCGCTCGCTCTCTGGTCAAATTAAAATAAATAAATAAAGTTAAGTAAAATAATTATATTTTAAAAATTAATGGGCAGGTATGTTAGGATATGCGGGGGGATATAATGGTTTGTAAAAATTGCTTTGGTGCATCAGTTTTTTCATTCCATTCTGCTGTTCTCTCAGAACAGCCTCAACATATATGGAATAATATAGCAATGATTTTTGGTTAGCAAGAGAATATTGAACCTTTCATATAAAAAAGGGTACTTTTAAAAATAAGTATTTATTATTATTTTTTTAATTTGCTATTGGACACATGCACTCACAAGAGAGACAAAAAAAAAAAAGAGTAAGAGGGAGAGAGGGAAAGTAAAAAAGCAAATCATTAGGTCCAGGACTCAAACTGCAGTCAGCCACATGAAAGTCTAGTGTCTTAACCACCACATCACCTGCTGGTCCCCAAGAATAATTGATTTTAATGTTAACAACCTTATATTACTCCAGTATTTTAGTTAAAACTTATTAAAACAATGGGACCAGCGTTAGCGTAATGGCTATGTCGCTGGACTCCCACGTAGTCGACTGCAGTTCGCATCCCGGACCCAGTGACTTAAAACTCATGTCGGGCGCATGTGCATGCGTGCCCAAGATCCCGAGAAGAGAATGGAGGGGAAGGGATTCAGAGAGACCATCCCCCCAGGGGCTGATTTCTCGCTTTCTATCTCTCTGTCTCTCTCTGTCTGTCTGGTGAGTGCACACACCTATAGCAAAAACCTCTAAAAAAAAAAAAAAAAACTAATAAAAAATTTTTAAAGGATTATTTCTTGGGACCAGCAGATGGCATAGTGGTTATGTCACTAGACTCCCACATGGCTGACTGTGGTTTGAGTCCCAGGCCTGACGGCTTCAGAATCACTTCAGGTGCATGTGCATGTGTACCCAAGACCCCAGGATGGAAATGGAGAAGGGATTGTGGCGTGGCCATTCCTCTAGGAGATGATCACTCACTTTTTATCTCTCTGTCTCTTCAGTGAGTGCATGTGCCCTATAGCAAAAATCTCTCTATAAAAAAAAAAAAAAAAATTATTGGGGACCAGCAGTTAGCATAATGGCTATCACTGAACTCCCATGTAGTTGACTGCGGTTCGCGTCCTGGACCCAGTGGCTTAAAACTCACGCTGGGCGCATGTGCGTGCATGCATGCGTGCCCAAGATCTCAAGAGGAGAATGGAGAAGAAGGGATTGCAATGTGGCCATCCCCTCTGGGGGGTGATTTCTTGCTTTCTATCTCTCTATTTCTCTCTGTCTGTCTGGCGAGTGCATGCACCCTATAGCAGAAACCTCCCCCCCAAAAAAATTATTATTGGGACTAGCAGTTGACGTAATGGCTATGTCGCTGGACTCCCATGTAGTCGACCACGGTTTGAGTCCTGGACCCAGTGACTTAAACTTAGCCAGGCGCATCTGTGTGCGTGCCCAAGATCCCAAGAGGAGAAGGGATTGTGGCGTGGCCATCCCCCATGGGGGTGTGATTTCTCACTTTCTGTCTCTCTCAGTCTTTCTGGCGAGCACACACGCCCTATAGCAAAAACCTCCTAAATTTTTTTTTATTTATTATTATTATTATTTTAATTTGTTCTATGGCATGCACCCTTGCCAGAGAGAGATAGAAAGGGAAAGTGAAAGAGAGAGGGACAGCCAGGTCCAGGACATGAACCACAGTTGAGTCCAACACCCCAACCACCATGCCACCTGCTGGCCCCTTAGAACTTACAAAAACTATGCTGTAGCTACAGTTGTTCTGATGCCTATATTATTTCTACTTCTATCCAAATTTGATGGTAAGAGTATCATGGGATGTATTTATCATTAATGATTGAATAATTTAGTTCACATAGTGTTTAGATTGAAAACTATGTGCATAAGGTGTTCAGCAACTACCCACTAAAAAACTATAATAGAAGAATTGTGTGAAATATAAGTTCGACATGCTTCAGCTCTTTTGTTTTGTTTTGTTTTGTTTGGCTTGTTTTTCTGTTCTTTAAGGTTTTTACTGTAGAGCAAGTATGTTCACTACACAGATGGTGAGAGGAAAAGCGAAAAATCACACCTTGGGGGGTGTGGTCATGCCGTAAATCCTTTTCCATTCTCCTGGGATTTGGGGCACACGCATACACACGCCCCGCATGATTCCCAAGCCACCAAGTCTGGGACTTGAACCATGGTTGGCCATGTGGGAGTCTAGCATTTTAACTGCCACACCACCTGCTTGTCCCACGTTTCAGCTCTTGCTAATCTAAGAAGTAATTCTTTGGCTTTTGTTTGTTTTAAAGGCTTTGGCTCTAATCAGCTCTTGTTAACCTAAGAAGTAATTCTTTGGATTTTTTGTTTGTTTTAAAAGTTTTTGCCTTAGGTCACATGCACTGGGTGGGTGAAGGAGATAGCTAGTGAGAGGGAAATTGATGAGAAGTAACTCCCCAACGGGGATGGCCATGCCACAGTTCATTCTCCTCCCAGGATCTTGAGCACACTCACACAGCACCTGGCATGAGTTTCGAACTACTGGATCCAGGACTTGAACTGTGGTCAGCCATGTGGGAATCCAGCGACATTAGCACTATGCCATCAGCTGCCCGTTTGTATGTTATTTGTTCAGCACATAGATGTCACCTTTTGAGGTACACACCAATGTCTTGAAGGAAATAGTAAACCTTTCTTTTTCTACTATGATCTTTTTAAAAACACTC